CATGTCTATATATAATTCTAAGGGTGTGATTACATATAAAATCACCTGGTATTATTCAGAACAGACTGCTAACTGGGGTGGTACCTTTGGGGAAAGGAAGAAAAATTGGGAGAGAGGAATGGGAAGGTTGACATTTTTCATTTTACTCTGTGTGCCTTTGGGGATGCCACTGATTCCAAGTGATCTGATAAAGATATACATCACTGATAATGTTGCTATCTTACTATTTCCTACTAGGAGGGTTTGGCCTAATTAAGAACCACTTTTAAGAAGTCTATTTCCCAAGGAATCAATTCTCTATATAAACACGTAGTTCCATGGCATAATTCTAGAAAGCACATTGTAACAAAGCTACATTATCTACTTTTTCACCCCTTCTAAAGTTATAAGCAGGCAATTAAATTTGATTCCCCAGTGATGAATGATATAAAATAAATTAAACCCACCCAGCATGAGCTGAAGTGTTTAAGGTTCTAACAGCAGACAATAACTTAGTTAACAACACTGGAAAATTCCCTCAGCTCATATAGAAACTGGATGACTCGACTGACATATTACAGCTGAACTCTACCAGGAAAGGTTTGTTAGTTGTAGTGGATGGAGAAAATGACCCAGATCTGAGGGGTATAGGGAATTGTATTTGTCCTCACAACATACAGAGTGCACTATTGTACTACTTTTCTGGGTTGAGAGTTGTTTAGGAGTGGATGGTTTGAGACATTTAAATGTATCCACTTATTTTGTGCTTTATGCTGCCTAATAAATCACCTATAAACTTGCTTAATTTAGGCCCAGAATCAGATTGGTATCACACAAATTAATTATAATGGGAAAATACTGATGCATAAATTAGATACTTGTTATGGAAATTTTCAAAGTAAAATTATGTAGGAATATATATTTATACCTATTACCTAACTTCAATAATTATCATCTGTGCCCATATTTACTTCATTCACTCCTTCCTTTCCTGGATTTTTTTAATTTTGAATTTTTTTCAGTGCATGTTTCATATTTTTATGATTTACGCCTTTTGTAACTGATAGTAATAAAGATGGTTGTCTTCAAGGGTCAAGCCCATGCCTTTGGTATTATTTAACGCTAGGGGCCCAGTGCACAAATTTGTGCACCTTGAAAGGAACTGTGGGCTGCGAGCCTGCGGTGGGCACAGGGGCAGATCTCGGCCCATGCTTCGTGCCCCCCCCCCCCAGCCCCTCCTACTGAAGCCCCTGGTCCCCCATCTGCTGGCAGCCCCGCTCCCGCCTTTGCCGCTCCCACACGCTGATGGTGTGGAGTGATTGGGGCTGGCGCCAGCAGCGGGCATGAACAGGGCTGGCCCCGTCAGTGGGGACAAATGGTGGCTGCTGCCCCGATTGCCCCTCAGGAGCAAGGGAGGTGGAGAAGCCCTCAGGGGCGATCGGGGCCAGCAGCCACCGCTCACTACGCCAAGCGATCAGGACCTTTGCCGGGCACTGGCAGCAGGTGTGAGAGGTGGCTTCAGCACCGGCTTCCGGTGTGAGCGGGGCCAGTGCTGGCAATGGGTGTGAGTGGGACCGTTGCCAGCACCAGCAGTGGGTGTGAGTGTCAGCGGCTACAAACGGCAGCTGCTGCCCCGATCACCCCTCAGGACCAGGGGGAGGTGGAGAAGTCCTGAGGGGCGATGGGGGCCAGCAGCTACTATTCGCACCCGCTGATGGTGCCAAGTGATGAGGGCTGGCGCCAAGTGCCGGCAGCGGGTACAAGCAGTGGCTTCGGCACTGGCAGTGCGTGCGAGAGGGGCCAGGGCCGGCAGCAGGTGAGCGCCAGGTGGAACCGCAGTGCGCGGAAGCAAAGAATTTTCAGTAACCACCAGAGGCTTGCCTCGATGACAGCAACCAGCGCTCCGGCTTGGTCTGGCGCCCCTGCTCCCCTGCTCCATCATCACCCCACGGCCGACGCCCACCATGTTCCACTCTTTGCCACCTGCTGTTGATGCCCACCATGTTCTGCTCGCGCCCCGTGGTGGTCAGTGCACATCATAGCGACTGGTTGGTTGTTGGGCACTCGGTTTGTTTGCATATTAGCCTTTTATTATGTAGGATTGTTCTTACATTAGGGATATATGTTGGGGAGGGGAACACTCTTCTGGAATGTGAAAGGCAAAAGCATTGCATTCATTCATTTATTTATTTATTTATTTAAATGTTTTTTACTAATTTTAGAGAGAGAGGAAGGGAGAGGGAGAGAAATACTGATATGAGAGAGAAACATTAGTCAGCTGCCTCCTGTGCGTGAGAGAGAAACATCAATTGTCTGTGTTCTGTACTTACCAACTGAGCCACACAGGCCAGAGCAAAAGCATTGTTTTAGATTACTTTCTGTCCAAGGCCTCTTCTAGGCTGATTTACTGGGATTCTGATTGAGTAACTCAGTTCGGCCTTGCCCTGGATGGAGTAGCTTCTCTCTTTCTCTCTCTCTCTCTCTCTCCCCCTTTTTAAGGAGTAGCTTCTTAATGTCTCTGGACATCAAGGGATTTAAATGTGGGGTGGGATTGGTTAAGCTTTTTGCTTAGCTGCTGGTGTGCTGAGGTCCTAGACAAAAGAACTGTTTCCATTCTATTTTTTTAAAAAACAAGTACTATTAAGTGGAAACTCTTAACTGAAAACTGAATAATACTTAAAACAGCTCAAATTTACATGAAGAAAATTCCATAGAAGAGTAACACTATTGAGGAATGCCCTATTTATGAATATTTTTTCTTATTTTACTGGAGAGGCAAATTAAAACTCATGTATACTTTAAAATTCTAGTTGATTTATGTGCTCCTGGCATATATAGACACAGAGAAAGTCAACCTTGGCAAAAGTCAGTAAATATTTATTCATCCCTGTGGCTTACTCAATGAGGGAGGTGTTTATAGACAGACTGATGACTCAGATGGGTTCCTGCCCTTAAACTGTGTGGGTTTAAAATAAATTTTTTTAAATGGGTGATAAAAACACGTCTCCCTTTCTTTATAAAAGTCAGTTTGCTAGTATAGTAATTCCTCACTTAATATCATTGATGGGTTCTTGGAAACTGTGGCTGTCAGCAAAGTGATGTATAAGAAACCAATTTTACCATAGGCTAACATATAAATAAGAGTTAAGTTCCTATGGCATATTTCTGGTCACAGAAACATGACCAAACTGCTATATAAAGACCCAAAACACTTCTAATAGTAAACATTGAAATAAATGTGAGCTATACAGACATTTAAGAAAGATGAATAGCCCTGGCTGGTTTGGCTCAGGGGATAGAGCGTCGGCCTGTGTACTGAAGGGTCCTGGGTGCGATTCTAGTCAAGGGCACATGGCTAGGTCCCCAGTAGGGGGTGTACAGGAGGTAGCCGATCAATGATTCTCTCTCGTCATTGATGTTTCTATGATGGATTCTCTTTTCTCTCCCTCTCTGATATCAATAAAAATAGATTTCAAAAAATGAATAAAAACAAATAAGATAATTTTAGTTTCTAGCCCGGTTATTCCACTTCAGGATGGTGTGTGTCCAGAGCCTCTCCCCACAGCTCAGGGTGCAAGGCTGGAACCCACCCTGGACAGGACACCCTTCCATCTCAGGGACGGACACACACACACATACACTCAGACTGGGAAAATGTAGACACTCCAGTTCACATGACATGCACATCTTTGGGATGTGGAAGGAAACCTATGGAGAGATGGGGAGAAGTTGCAGACTCCAGACAGACAGTGGGCCCTGCTGGGGATCAATTTTTTTCTTCTCGTCAACATTATAACAGAACTGTTATTGGAGGACCTACTGTATGTACTTTCTTAGCATTTCTGTGTTTAGAGGCTCCAGAACTGGACAGGTATTAAGCCCTTTATTTATTTATTTATTTTTAAATGTTTATTGATTTCAGAGAGAAAGGGCGAGGGAGAGATAGAAACATCAATGATGAGAGAGAATCATTGATCAGCTGCCTTCTGTACACCCTCAACCGGGGGTTGAGCCTGCAACCCAGGCATGTGCCCTTGACCAGATTCGAACCTGGGACCCTTCAGTCCTCAGGCCGACGCTCTATCCACTGAGCCAAACCGGCTAGGGCGGTATTAACTGACATTTTATTGGCCTAGGGAGGCACAGATAGGGAGGAAGGAAGGACCAGTATTTGTAATTGGACACTTGCCTATATCACACCAGCAGTCTGAGCCCCTTTTTTTCCTTATGGACAGTTTGAAAAGACAGTTGAGAAACAGGCTTTCAAGGGTAACTTTATGTATAAGGGTGGATTATATTTACTTTCAGGGTTTTCTGTGTTGGATATATATAGTCAGTTCTCTAACATGAAGGCTAATCAATTTTCAAAGAAAGGTGTGGACACAGAGTGGCCTCAGAACTAGGAAGTAGTCAGAATTGTTATTTGGTGTTTCCTGCTTCTGGAGAGTTAGGCTACTCAGCTCAGGTTGTCTCTAATGCCACTTACCCTTTCAATCCCTACCTCCCCTTACTTCAGAAAACAGATGGGAAGTAGGTTGCCCTGCTTGTTCTACAACTTGATTTCATCTCAGTATTAACTTGCTATTTCCCCAAATCATCACATAGAAATCTGCCTCATACTTTCCAGCAGCTGTAAAGGATGTACTTATACTATCATTTATTTAATCAGAACCACGGGGATGAATACTTAGCATTGCCATTAAAATTTTTTCCCTTATTTATTGATTTGAGAGAGAAACTTCTATTTGTTTTTCCACTTATTTATGCATTTATTGATTCTCGTATGTGCCCTGACCAAGATTTGAACCCATAACCATGGTGTATCGGGATGACATCCTAACTGAGTAAGCTACCTGGCATAGAATTCATATAATGTTAGTACTAAATTCATAGATATAGGTTATTAATAAATATGAACTAAAAAGGTCTATTTTGAATAGTACAATATATGAAATTTTCTTAGCTTAAGAGAAAAAGTAACTCTGAATGATAGTCTTACAATATTTTTTCCTTTCTCCTAGATTTAAACAGTCAAGTTAAATCAAGCTGGGTAATCATGGCAGAAGGAGGATTCGATCCCTGTGAATGTGTTTGCTCTCATGAGCATGCGATGAGAAGGCTGATCAATCTGGTGAGATGTACAGGACAGTCCTATTCAGAACTGAACTGTACTGCTTCTGCTCTGTTTTTGTGAAAATGTTATGGAAAGATTCTCATCTGATGGTCACTAAAATTATTTCCTAGTTGAAATTCCACAGTGGTTTAAGTTATGGTTAAAATACCAGCAATTATTTTATTAAAGATAAAAACAAATTTCTTTATTTATGTTAGTGAAATTCCCCATCGTTGAGTAACATTCTGCCTATAGTTATTAACTATATGGAGCTTGTTTACCTGATAAAGTGCTGTGAAGTCAGTTTCTGTTAATGATATAGTTCAAATACTACTCCTTCAAATGGCATGACAATAAAAATCTCTATGTAAAGCATTTAAAAATTCAAATTATTTAACAGAGGCAGATTTCTGGCCAACATACTTTGTTTGGATAGTAGTCTATAGACTTTGAAGGAGGTTTGAATTGTGGTGTTTTTAAGATTTCCCTAATCTATAAGCTTAAGTATCGGGCTATTTATGCATTATACTTTTTATGTACGAAAGGAGAAATTTAACCATTATTAACAATAAAACATATTGTTATGTTATACATTATAACATTTTGTTGTTTTAGAATACTCTTGTACAGAGGTATATTGTCATTGGCCAGTTAAAGACAGGCACCAACATTTGCTCAAATATTTGAATTGTTGGTAGTTAATAAGGTTTTCTGCTGACTCGGTGTCTATATATAGTGATCAGAAGTGTATTTCTTGTAAATGATATTTCTTTTAGAATCAGCATATACTAAGACATATGATCCCCAAGAATGCATTAGAGGGAAAGCAATAAACTAAGAACTTATAAATTAAATCTTACTCTTGTGGATATAGAAATATAATGGCAATGTCATATCTGTGATAACTTAATATAAAAATAGATGAGTCTGAGGAAAGAATATTTTAAAAAATATTTTCTCCTGTGTATTCATGAAGTTAAAGAGCTGATAATTTTTATTTCTAAATTCAAATATAAGGCAAACATTTTTTCTAGTTACTGTGATATTAGGAACAACTTTTAGGTCATCTTTTACTCTTTCAACCCCATAGCTAATGCAGAAACAAATCCTTTAAGCTCAAAACATATCCTTAAAAACATATCCAGAATCCAGCCATTTCTCACACCTTCAGTGCAACATCCTGGTCTAATCTAAATCATCTCTTGCCTGGATTATTGAAATTAGCCTTCTTATAGGTCTCCTCTTGCCATACCTGACTCCCCTCAGGTTCTGTCTCACTACAGCAGCCAAAGTGATCTATTTTTTGATAAATGATAAAGGAGTGGGGAAAAGTTGTCCCAAAAGAATGTGATACTCTAAATCTCAGACAAAATATAATTTAAAGCCAAAACAATGAAATGGGACATGGGAATTCCTAGTATATTGACCAAAAAAACTCAGTTCATCAAAGAGATATAAACCTTTATGTCCTGAACAACAGAGAATGCAAAAACTACTAGAAATACAAACAGAAGTGTTTTAGAAGTATCTGAGAAATGCTAGTGAAAGCCATAGGGATGCTTTTGCAGGTTAGAGAGAGAGAGGTATGCAGGTCAGTATATGTTTGTAAGTACATAGAAGCAGTTCCAGGGATATACCTCAGACGCCTAACAGTTACATTGGGGAGAGTTTGAAGGAAGTCGAGTACTATTTTAAGTCCATAGAAAGCATCTAATGTAGGTTTTCCTTTTACAAATGAGGAAACTTTTCCCAGGTGTTGGAGTTGACTAGTGGGTGGCAGGGGATGCTCAATCTGACAGCTTAGCTCCAGGCCCTGCCCTGCTTCTTAGTACCATGTTCTGCTCCACTGCCTGTTGATCTCCTTCAGGCATTTAAAAAGCACTATATTTGAAATCAAGGGTGGTGGGGATGGAGGGACAGCTGTAATACTTTCAACAACAAAGGTAAATTTAAAAATAAGTAAATAAGTCCTGGGATGTAAAAAAAGAAAGAGAAAAGAGAAGAAGAAAAAAGAAGAGGAGAGAAAAGAAAAAAAGAAAAACCAAAGGGGCAGTGGAAGGCTAGGAGAAAGTAGGAGGAGAAAGACTCTTCATTGTATTTTTACTAGAGGCCCAGTGCATGAGTTTGTGCACCAGCGGGTTCCTTTGGACTGGCCTGTGGGATTGGGCCAAAACCGGCTCTCCAACATCCCCCAAGGGGTCCTGGATTGTGAGAGATGCAGGCCAGGCCAAGGGACCCCACCAGTGCATGATTGGGGCCAGGTAGGGGCATGGAAGGTTGGCCAGCTGGGAAGGGACTGCAGGAAGGCTCCAGGGTGTATCCGGCCCTTCTCGCTCAGTCCCAATCAGCCAGACTCCAGCAGCAAGCTAACCTACCAGTCGGACGATCTGCCCCCTGCTGGTCAGTGCACGTCTTAACAACTGGTTGACTGGTCAACTGTCTGCCCCCTGGTGGTCAGTACACATTATAGTGAGCGGTTGAGCAGCCTTAGCATATCATTAGCATATTACGCTTTGATTGATTGGATGACCAGACACTTAGCATATTAGGCTTTTATTATATAGGATGCTTAAAAAGTTGTGAATATGCCTTAGCCCCGTGGTCGGCAAACTGCGGCTCACGAGTCACATGCGGCTCTTTGGCCCCTTGAGTATGGCTCTTCCTAAGCCTTAGGAGTATCCTAATTAAGTTAATAACAATGTACCTACCTATATAGTTTAAGTTTAAAAAATTTGGCTCTCAAAAGAAATTTCAATCGTTGTACTGTTGATAGTTGGCTCTGTTAACTAATGAGTTTGCTGACCACTGCCCTAGCCGGTTTGACTCAGTTGATAGAGCTTTGGACTGCAGATTGAAGAGTCCTGGATTTGATTCTGGTCAAGGTCACATACCTCAGTGGCAAGCTCGATTCCTGGCTCTGGTCGGGGTGCATGTAGGAGGCAACCAATCAATGGTTCTATCACATGGATGTTTCTCCCCTACCCTTCCACTTTCTAAAAATCCAGGGAAAAATATCCTTGGATGAGGTTTAACAAAAACAAAAAAACCTGCAAAACAAAACAAAAGGCTGTGTGAATGTATTGTCTATTCAAATAATTAATTTAAAAAGAAAACTTTGTAAGCACCTTCAAAGGTATTAAAAGCAGTACAGTTATATACAAAAATTTGTAATTACAGACTTTTTCCACTCGAGAATAAAATTTTTGAATGTACTCTTAGGTGATTTGAAAAGAAAATACTATATTTTACAATGTTTGGCTTTTCAATAATTCTAATAAGATTTTCTTCTCTTCTTTGACCTTTTAATTTCTAAACTGGTAGAATTTTTTCTCATCAGAATGTAAAACATACATATAAAAATAGAAAAAGCATGTATGTCTCCTAGGGCTCAGTGATACAAATAGCAATTCAGACTCTTTACTGCCTCATCAGTACTTATGTACGTTTTGATTACTTAAAGTGAGCTTTACCAGAACAAAGAATATAATCTGATTTTCATTCATTGTATTGTCTATCTGCAATATGGACTTTCGAGTAAATGATTGTATCTCTGACTATATTTATGGGAATGTTTTAAAATGATACATTATAGACAGCATTTAAGTTCAAGGTTGATAACACTGCAGTACAAAAAATGCCCCATTTGGGGTGCTGGTGACAAAGCTTTACTTACTCTCTTGGCATGTCTCCTTCCTGTGATTTAATTATATCACTGAGTTACACAAGTGTTAGACTGGTCTTAATGCGGTAGTATTTTGCTGGGTGCATGTATGTTTCTGTTTGTCTCAGGAATGTTCAAAAACATTAAAAATGGAGGTATTGCCCAGCTGGCATGGCTCAGTGGTTGAGCATCAACCTATGAACCAGGAGGTCATGGTTCAATTCCCGGTCTTGCACATGCCCTGGTTGCGGCCTCAGTCCCTAGTGTGGGGTATGCAGGAGGCAGCCGATCGATGATTCTTTCTCATCATTGATTTTTCTATCTCTCTCTCCCTCTCCCTTCCTCTCTGAAATCAATAAAAAAATACGTTAAAAAAATGGAGGTATTATCTGACATTACAGAGATTTTTCTTAGTCTGATACTCTTCAAATACTGTCTAATAGGACTCAAAGGAGGTAGATATGAATATATAGTAAGTCTGTCTCAATTAAAATTAGATATCTTTGTCATGTTACATATAATTCTGTGTTTTATTACTTGACTTAATATGGGAATATACATAGTGATAAAAATAAGGATATTTAGTGATGTAGAATATGTAGTAAGATGCCAACATAAAACCATAATCTAATTATAAGATATTCTTTTATGTTATCTAGTATTTTTTGTCCCCCATCTGAAGTCAGTACTCTTTTTTTGAAAAAAGAGGTATTTATAATTACTGTATCTAGTTTTGGGGTTTTTATTTATTTTTTAAAAAATTATTTCAGAGAGGAAGAGAGAGAGATAGAAACATCAATGATGAGAGAGAATCATTGATCGGCTGCCTCCTGCACGCCCCACGCTGGGGATAGAGCCTGCAACCGGGCATGTGCCCTGACAGGGAATTGAACCATGACCTCCTGGTTCATATTCAACCACTGAGCCATGCCAATTGGGCTATTTTTTTTTTGTTTGTTTTAAAATACTCATATTTCCTTAAACCATACAAACTGCCTGGAGAGGGGCTGTTTTTTTCTTTTCTTTTTTTCCCCCCCATTTCCATTGAAGCCATTTGTAAACTTATTCTGGCTTCATCCTTTCCTACTCCCTTGCCACCACCTCCTTCTCATGTTTTCCTGGCTGGCTGTCTCTTGGTATATAGTTTCTTCTATAATGATAGGTGTTTCAGAAAGAGAGAACAGATGGATTTAGAAATATGAACTTGAATTATGCTCTGTTTTTCCTATTCTCTGTTGTAATCTAAGATTTGGAATGCAGATAATGCTTTTTTTTTTTGCTTGCTTGTTTGTTTTGAGCTCTATTTCAGCTCTAATCTAAATAGTGTAATTTAAACTTCTACATCTTTAATTTACTT